CCATTGTACGGCAGCCAGTTGCCCAGCCACCGCACCAACCAACCGTGCACTTTGGGTGAAACGAGAGAGTGTCCAGACTCTGGCGGGCTAAAATCACTCCGTTACTACTTCTGCTTCGAGCCAAATCCCAACCCATCACATAATAAATAATGTGTTCATCACATGTACTGAGAAATAAATGACATTCATTCATTCATTCATTCATTCATTCATTCAATCACACCCATTTCATAGAGAAGTTTTTTTTTATATATATATAAAAACGTTGCCCCACGTATGTTACTTGAGTATGTTCTCATGGATGCTCAAACTTGTAGGTTCTTTATTTAAAATACCACGACAATGAAGTAATAGAGCAGGTTGGGAGGTTTCTCCTGTAGGCACCGGAGCAGTAAAAGAGTATTTCATTTTTCTGAAACACTCATTGGCATGTTCCACAAAATGTTGCAACTGCGAACTCTCTGGCATTATCTGGTTCAACATATTATGGAATATCATCTGATGTTCTAACATCCATAACCTATGCATATTGGTTTTACTTGTGAATTCGTTTTTGCGGTGAAATCCTCTATTGTGATTGTGATGATGAATGATTGGACGAAATTAGGTTTATTCTTACAGTACCTAATAGGCTTAGACTGCCTCGTTGGCTGAGTGGTCGCAAGCGCGACTGCCGGACAAGGGGTCTCGGGTTCGATTCCCGAGTCGGGCAAAGTATTACTGGATTTTTTAAAATTCTCAGTATTAGCACAGAGTCTGGAATTGTGCCCGGTATATGGCAATAGGCTCACCCCCTATTACACGGGACTCATAACATAAATAGTGAAAAGTGAGCGTTAGATTGTACAGTGGCATAATGTGCACCTCTGCCTACCCCTTCGGGGATAAAAGGCGTGATATTATGTTATGTTACCTAATAGGTACATTCATTACAATATGGTACTTATGCTTACATACATATACTTAGTTATCTATGCAAGTATGCAATATTATAGCTTATTGCAACTTGGCTGGTGTAAAGAAAGAAAAACAGCATAATCATTTATTCAGCAGTGTAGTGGTTGCGGATTCGATTCCTGTTTCTGTGAACAACTCTTTGTGTGGTTAACGAATTGTTGTTCGAAACGGACCATGTATCGTGTATGTGATTTTGTATATTTGTAAAAGCATTTGCAATACAGTAGAAAATCCTCTAGGACTTTTTTTGGCCCTCCCTGAAGGAACAAGTTATTGTCATATTTTTAAATAATTACTTGAATAGTAACTATTCTCTTAGGTCATTTTTTTTTCTAATTCAACCGTTTAGAATGGACACTATGGAATGGAGGCCAATCCACACCCGTTTTAGTTATCAAACTATAAAGCCATTAAAATAAAAAGTGGGTAAATAAGATTGGCTTTTTAGGGGGGGGGGGGATCATCCAATTACTTCTCCCGCCTTGGGTTAGGCAAAAGGAGGTGTCAGACTCTTACTGATTAAGCACCACCCCGTTCCTACTCCTGCTCTTCGAGCCGGAGCCAAGGCAACTCGTTAGGCCTTCCGCGGCTAGATATCGGACATCAGCCCTACTGGGCCTCATCTGTGGAGCGACGCGCCGTACGCACGGAATACTTATTTCAGAACTAGACTGAAATAAGTGTGGCTAGTTAAACCTAATTTGTATGGTTCTCAGTGTCACTTAGTACCAATGGTACCTAATTATTGTATTTAACAATTATTATGTTGCTTT